GGAAGGGCAGAGCAGGGCTGAAGCCGTGGTGCTGGGCTTGGCGGTGTGGGACCGGCGGTGCTGGGCTTGGAAGAAGGCATTCTGGTGCCTTCTGGGGAGAGGACGTGGAGATCGAATGCAGTCATGGAGTGTGTAGACTCCGGGTATAGCTGTGTATCTTCTGTTGGCTTAAGGAGACATGTTAGGAAGTAGGAGAGCACTTCATAGGATCCCAAAATCCCAGGTGGTTGGTTTCAAAGGACCTTAAGGATCGCAGAACCATGGAATCCCAGAATGGCTGGCTTGGAAGGGACCCCAAAGCCCCCCACCCCACCCCTGGGCCGGGTGCCCCCACCAGCTCAGGCTGCCCAGGGCCCACCACAGCCTCGGGCACCGCCAGGAGGGGGGATGCCCACAGCTCTGTTTGATGAAGCTGAAACCACCCTGGGGTTGCAGAGGAGCTGCAGGTCGGGTCCAGCCTCAGTGCCGCAGCCCAGCGCACACCGCAGCGGCCATCTGCCATCTGCCATCCATTGTGTCAGTCCGAATGTTGGTCCCAGGCAGGGGCCGACTGCTGCCAAGCAGGACAGCATGGGGAGCCCCGGTGTGCTGAGACATGTTGGACCTGACCAAGGCCTGGCTGCAGGCTGAGGGGGTTCCTGGCTCCCCAGTTCCCCCGTGTTCCCTTATGGCCGGAGGTTCAGCCATGGCTCCAGCAGGATTAGCTCGCAGCACTTGGCACAGGGAGCTTTTCCTATTCAATCTGCATATTTCAGTCTCATTTCTCTGGAAATGAGCTGGAAAGGTCCCGCTGGTAGCGCTGGTGCTCAGGTCCCATCCCATCCCCTCCTAAGCACTGCACTGCATAGGTGTGTGCCTCCCGGGGGGGTCTGCTGCTCGCAGGCAAACGCTGAGCTCTGCATGGCAAACCTGAATGTTGCACTGTCTGCATCAGATAGGTGCTGTTGCTTTCATGAGCAGCCGCATGCTGATTTATGGCAACGTGCTATTTATTTATCAACATTTAGGCTGCGGATTTTTCAATTATCCTAATAGCACAAAGCCAACAAGTTGGTCGTGACGTTGCTCCTTTAAAGTCTCCCTTTGAACGCCTCTATAAATCAACTCCCCTTTGATGTGAAGTGGGAGATTTCATAACCGTGTGTTTACTTTTGGGTTTAAAAAAATAAGCTGAAGGGAAAATAAAAAAAAAAGCAACAACCGAAAACAAAAAGCAAATAGCAGTTTGTATCTCATTAAAAATAGTTTCTAGCGCATTGAAAGCTATATTGTTTTAGGAAACGAGAGCTAGAAAGAGTTGCAAAAGCAGTTGATCCTTTTAATGGCTGATTGTTGGCTGCAACCATTGCACTTGTCCTCAGGCACACAGGGCACACGGCAGCGCTGCTGGTCTCAGCTGTGCCCCACAGCAATGGGGCTGAGCACATGGACAAGGGCTGAGCCCGGCTGTGTCTGCATGGAAATCAAAGGCTTGCATTGCCCTCGTGGCACAGCTCCTCTGGTCGGAGGGATTTCCAAGCGCGGGGGATGTGAGGTTTGCGTCAGAAGGGTGGGTCGTCGGGAGCAGGGTTTGTAAACATTGGGACTCTCTGGAGATGTGCAGTGAGATTCCTCCATCAAAGTGTGGGGTGGGTCCCACTCCCCCAGCCGCTCCGGGCTGGAGCCCCGCAGCACCTTCGCACTGCTTTTATCTTGCATTTACCCTCCTGCAAATGCATGCAGCTCACTTACAGTCTTTAAATGAGGGCTCCTGGCCTCGGGGAGACTCAGCTGGCACACGCTGGATTCAGAGGGCTGACATCAGCAGCGGGCACATCCTCCTGCCTTGTCCTGGCTGTGCAGCACCAGGAGCACTGCTGTGCTGTGCTCGGGGGGACACAGGGCCACGAATAACAGCAGGGCTGCTGCTGGGGCTGCACGGTAAGGCTCAGACTGGGTGTGCATTTGTGGGACTCTGGAGCCGTCACAGGGGATGTTCCCCCACGCACAGCAGTGGGAAGCTGGAGACAGCTCGTGAGGGATGGTCGCTGCTGTAATCAAAGGATGATCCAATTTCTGGAGGTCTAATTTTGTTCAGATGGCTCCTGCTGTTACTTCAGAGCATGTGGAACAGGAAAACCACCTGCAGGAGGATGGCGTTTTCTCACACAACCCTGCAGCTGGCTCCACCTCTGTCACCCAGCATAGGGGCAGGCGTGCCCATGGGTGTGTGGTGCCCACTGGGTTGGGGTTTGTTCCACTTAGTTGTGCAAGTATTGTGTGTGTGGTCAGAGCTGGGACAAAGGGGATCACGGAATCACAGAATCACTAAGGTTGGAAAAGGCCTCTAAGATCACCAGGTCCAACCACCATCCTATCCCCACCATGCCCACCGACCACATCCCTAAATGGAAGGAAGCCCCAGGCCCTGCAGCAGCTGCACATCCCCTCCCTGTGCAGGTGCATGCTGGAGCGTGTTCTGCAGCCGTGCCCAAGCTCTTGAAGCGTGCTAGATTCACTCCCAAAGAAGTGAGGCTGCTGCTTGCTCTGTGGCAGAGCAGTTGGCATCCCGCAGTGCAGACAACCTGCTCTTTCTTTGCAGTCAGATTGATTGAACAAGGAATTGCTGTGGAGGTTTGCACATCAATCTGTGCATGCAGTTTTTCATGTCTTTAATCAATCCCGCTGTTATGTGCCCACATCTCTCAGATGGCAAATTGCACCAAGCCCTACAAAGCACAAAGGGGAATGCATGAGAAACCCAACTGGTGCCACTTTGCTGGGCAGCCTGAGCTGGTGGGGGCACCCAGCCCGTGGATGGGCATGGAGATCCTGTCCAACCTCACCGTTCTATGGCTGTGTGGTTCTGTGAGTCCTTCAACACATGCTTGCCATTGGTGTGGGCACATGGCTGGCTGGGCTTGTGACCCCAACAACGTTTCACTGGGGGAACAGCAGGCTCGGATCTCCCCTGTGTCCCAGCAGCACCATCCCACCCCATTTTTGTGAGTTTTGCCCACCCTGGGTCTGTGTGGGCAGCAAGTGCAGGTGGCATCAGCTGCTCACCTTTGTCCTCGTGCATTGGAGGGACAGGAGGAGGACCTCCCTGACTCCATCGCAGAGTTGGGGAAAAGATGATTGTCCTTGGTCAACAAGGGATGGAAGTTTGGGGTCAAGGCTGTGTGCCACCCCAGCACAGCTCCCATCCGTTTATTGTTATTGCCAAGGGAAGCGTGTGCAATGCAGGGGTCCCTAAGATACTGTGGGATGCAAACCTGAGCGCTGGCCATGCTGCATTTAGCGTTTAACGAGGAAAGTGCAGCTCAGAATGCAAGAAGTGCTTTTTTTTTCAGATAAGAAGGCAGCACAGATGCTGGCTTGTGCCAGAATCACCCCAAGCTGCTGTGGCTCAAGGGAAAAAGTGAAAAAGGTCCTTCCTGCATCTCTGTGACAGGCAATGACGTTTCTGCCATCAGGGATGCCATGCTGGGATCAGTGTCACGCAGCAGCAGTGGGGCTGCAGCACATTTGGATTTGTCATAGCAGCGCAATGATAAATCACAGGATTTGGGTTGGGAAGGAGTCCTAGTGAGAGGATTTCTTGAAATCTTGCATTGTGATTGCACAACGTAATTGCAGGTACTGGCTTATCTCTAGTTTGCGTTTCCACATTGAGAAGTGCTCCCAGTTTGTAAAGGTGCGTTTTGCTGCACTGCTGCATTTTGCCTCTTTGCCACGGGGGGGAAAAACAGCAATCGCATGCATGGTGTCAACGCTTTGAAAATCCCCTCTGAACACTCGCCTGGCAACCCTCTGCAATGAAGATAGGGGGGAAAAAAAAGCACAGAAAGCAGAACGGAGAGGAGAGGGCTGAGTGCTGCGCCTCGCTTGGGCGCGCATCGCTTCCTCCATCTTACCCTCCTCCCAAAGATGGCTGTGGGGCCGCTCCGCGGGGCCGTGGGTTGCGCAGGATCCCCCCCCCGCTCCCCTCGGGGCCACCCATCCACCCCGCCCCCCTCCCATCGCCGATCACCCACCGCGGCACACGGCCTCGCCGCACGCGCATGGATTCGCCGCCGCCTCCCCGAGCGGCCCCGCGGTCGGGATTCTCTGTAAAGAGAACCCACCCACGCTGCAGAGATGCGGTGCCGGGCTGGGCTCCAGCGGCTGTGCGGCGTTCACCGCGTTCCGGGCGCTGGGGGCTGCGGGGGCTCAGTGCCCGCTGACTGCTGCCGGCTGCCGGCGCTCCCGTCTCGCCGGTGACGTCTCCGTAAGGACCTGAGCGAGGGCTGCGGCGCGGGGTGTTCCAAAATGCCTGAAGCCAACGCTTTGTTGTCCGTGTCTTGGGGTTACATTAAGGTGGGTTGGATCCTGCCGGGTCCTTGGTGCCTGTTTTTGTGCTGTTTTCCTCAGGGAAAGCCCCTGGGAGGGAATGGGGCCGTTGGGATGGTTATTCCCACACGGTGTGTGTGTGCGGTGCATGCGGCGTACGTGGATGCGAGTTGCTTCTCCCCTTTGGGAATTCACTTCTGTAGGGTGAAATGTTGCTGCAACTGAAGCATGCAATTAGCAAATGGAGGGCAGTGTATGGGTGCAGCTGGGAGAGCACTGCGTCTCTCTGCAGTGATGCAGGCAGAGCTGAGATTCGTGGCATCTTTGCTTTTCTCTTTGGAACACATGCAGCCGCATCGCAAAATGGAGCAAACTTATGTAATGGAGCTGAGAACAAAAGGAGGTGGAAATAGAATCCAGTACCAGACGTGGGTCTCTCAGAGAGGTTACCTGAGGCATCTCATTTCTGGCAGTGAAAATAATGTCTGTCTGTGGAGGAAATTCATGTTGCAGTTTTTGCGTACTGAACAGAAGTAGGTAGCCGCGCTGGTGCTGCGGGGAATCTCGGTGAAGCTGAATGGCTCTGATTCCGTTTCATATCTCTCTGTAATTTTATTTTTCACCTCTTGCTTGTCCGTTTGCTTGCTGTGGAGTTGAAGCCGTGTGAAAGCATTCATAAAACTCCCATTCCTATGTTTGTGTTTCTCCCTCCCTCCAGTTCAAGAGGATGCTGAACCGCGAGCTGACGCACCTCTCCGAGATGAGCCGCTCCGGCAACCAGGTGTCCGAGTACATCTCCAACACCTTCCTGGGTAAGCAGTGCCTGGGCTCCGGCCCCTGGGGCAGCCCCTGCCTCTGCCTCCTTTTGAAGCCACATCTCAGCACACAGCATTACTGGAAGGCTTTGATTTTCTGCTTTCCAAACGGAGATGGGGAGGAGAAGGATGCAGCGCTAGCCTGGCGCTCTGCGCAGAGGGATTCCCTTTCCAGATGGAAAGATCTCTCTGGTTGGGCTGAACCGAGCTGCTGTCGGCCACGTTGTGCAATGTTTGCTTTTTGTGGTGACCTTATGTGAAGGACAAAGCCACCCGAGCCCAGCTGCACGCACTCATCTTTGCACCTTCTGCCTCATAAAACTGCATCCCCCACCCTCAGAGCCAGGGGCTTGGACAGGCAAGGTCAACCCAGGAGTTTTATTACTCTGTGCTTACGTGCTCATTTTGCACTGGAAATCTGAGCCCACCTCAAAGATACGCACAGCATTTCGCATGACATTCCTTTTGTAGGAGCTTCCAGGACGACCGACACGAACAAATTAAACATTTAAGTGTTCTGAGAAGCGTTTACTTCCTCTGTGTTTACAAAGCCCATCTTTTACAAAAAATACAGTTTACTGTGGTTTCAAACAGTTCCCAAATAGGTGCTCAGTTGCTCTTAAGCAGCAGCTTGATGCTGGGGCCCCACTGAGCACGTATTTCCATTGGCCTGAACACTGTGCCCACATCCTCAGGGAGCTCACGCCCCACAGTCATCATGGCCCAGAATGCCTTCCCTCTATGACACACCATTATTTCCATTAAGGGATTTTAAAGTGATTTCAGTAGCCAGTTGCAACTGGAGCTGCCACGTGCATTTAGGGCTCATCATGAATAATCCATGTAAGAGTCTGGAGCTGCTTTGTAGGAATCCACTGCTCCTCTCCTGTTGCTCAGCTTAATGGCGACATCCAGAGCAGAAACAAATACAGGGAAGAAGAGCAGGGCAGCCTCACTGCCAGCAGCAGGGCACTTCTGAGTGAAATTTCGGAGAGAAATTATCAGAGCTTTCAAATGGATCCTAAAGCTCTTTTAGGAAGTTGTGCTGTCACTTTTTTTATGAGTTTGCTTTTTTATTTTTCCCTTAAAACGTGGTTTAAAAATGAAAGGAATGCACGGTGTAGAAGAGGTTGGACAAAAAAGGAGAAATCATAGAATCATAGTATGGCTTGGGATGGAAGAGACCTTGGAAATGCATCCAAGCAGCATTTGTGAAATGAGGATAGCTCATGGATGCTAAAACCAAATGGCATATCTGTGTTCAGTTGCTTGGCTTCATTAAATGAGCTGAGGCTGACAGCAGTTGGGCAGCCCCAACGCCGTCACTTGGCCAAGGGTGTGAGAGGTTGGGTTTGTCACTGGGCCCTGCCATGGGCATGGGCAGGAGCTCAGCCTCTGCAGAGCAGTGCCTCGGGCACAGAAATCCACATGTGCCCTTTGATGGGCCATGAACGTGACCCGCTAACTGGGAGGCATTATGGAAACACTAATTAAAGGTTTAAGGGTAATTACCCTATTTTCCTAAGTGTTATTTTGCACTGAGCACTGAATAACAATATAGAGTGTAGCTCTATCTTTCTCTAAGGATTTTCCCTAGTCTGTACTCCTCAGATTCTCCCCTGCACTGTTCATAAGGATGTTGTATGCATCAAAAGGATTCTTTTTGGAATTCACAAAGTTCGAGGGAAGGGCCAGCTTGGATGTTAGGAGAAATCTCTTCACCCAAAGGGCGCTCAGCACCGCACAGCTGCCCAGGGGTGGGGGGTCAGCATCCCTGGGGGTGTGCAGAGCCGTGGGGATGTGGCACTGAGGGACGTGGGCAGTGGGCATGGGGTGGGCTGGGGGTGGAGGAGGGCTTTTCAACCTTAATGATGCTGTGATTCTGTATTAATGATCAAAGTAAGGGGTGATGTGAGGGGCAGCACAGAGTGCTCACACAGTGTTCCTGCAAATGGTGCTGATTTCTTTCACCTTTCTTCGTTGCAGACAAGCAGAATGATGTGGAGATTCCTTCTCCCACGCAGAAGGACAGAGAGAAGAAGAAAAAGCAGCAGCTCATGACCCAGATCAGCGGAGTGAAAAAATTAATGCATAGTTCAAGCTTAAATAATACCAGCATCTCACGATTTGGTGTGAAAACAGAAAAGGAAGACCATCTGGCCAAGGTACATCAGATTGATATGGTTCGTGGAGAATTGGTGTGATCTTGGAGCACGTGGCCTCCTCGTACAGGTGCTCTAACATCAGCACTTCACAGCTGCCCCGTGTTCCTGTACTGCAGGAATCACTGGTGCTTATGAACTGTCTTGACTACCACAGACAGGAAAACAAAACGCTTTGGTGGGAGGGAAACATGCAGACACGTCTCGAGAAACATTTTAACTGTTCTCTTTGTGTCTTTTCCAAAGGAGCTGGAAGATCTGAATAAGTGGGGTCTGAACATATTTAATGTTGCCAGGTATTCCCACAACAGGCCGCTCACCTGCATCATGTACGCCATATTTCAGGTGCGTGGTTTTCTGTCCTTTCACAGCACTGGTTTAATACCCGGTGGCTCCCTGTTACACCACCAGGTGCACTGTGACATCCCTGTGTACAGGCAGTTGTGGATGCCCCATCCCTGGAGGATGGATGTGCAGGCCAGGCTGGATGTGGCTCTGGGCAGCCTGGGCTGCTGGTTGGCGACCTGCACACAGCAGGGGGTTGGAATGAGATGAGCATCGTGCTCCTTTTCAACCCAGGCCATGCTATGATTCTATGATTCTAAGATACTTTTGACATCTCTTATGCAGGAGCGAGATCTACTGAAGACATTCAAGATCTCATCAGACACCTTTGTGACGTACATGATGACATTGGAAGACCACTACCATTCGGACGTGGCGTACCACAACAGCCTGCATGCTGCTGATGTTGCCCAGTCCACCCACGTTCTCCTCTCCACCCCTGCACTGGATGTGAGTTCTGCTTTGAGCTGAGCTCTGTGCCCAGCCATCTGTAATCTCTATTTCATCGTAAGGAGTGCGTGCTTGCATGTCAGCCTCTCTTTTGAGCAAATGGCTTACTTATACAAGCCTCGTCCTCCTAAAAGTGATTCAAAAAGCAGAGAGGGTTTGTTTCTGTAAGTGGGCACCCCAAAGTGGTGATGGGCTTCTCTCACAGATCCCCATTTCCTCCATAGGCTGTCTTCACCGACTTGGAAATCCTCGCCGCTATTTTTGCAGCCGCGATTCACGACGTGGATCACCCCGGTGTCTCCAACCAGTTTCTGATTAACACAAGTGAGTTTTGTTTCAAATACAATCACGGCTTCATCTGCAAACTCAGAGTACGTTTTCCATTACAGCAGGGGCCAAACTGTGACTTTCAGACCACGGTGCTTTCTCAAAACACTGTGCAGCAAATGAGTTCTACGTTTGGAAATGGAGCGACAGGATAAGTGGAATTCCTATCGAAACAAAGGAAGCTATTGTAGTATAATTTGCAAAGCGGCCTTGAGTCTTGTGATTATCACTTGATAAGGCATAATAAATCTTCCAAATTTCGTCATTAACAGAAGACTGGCGATGCTGTTGCTATTGACAACAATAGAGCTAAATATTGTGGTTCATGTTGTATTCTGCAACAGGCTAAGCATGTGTTTTGGTTCCAAAGGATGGGCATTGTTCTTTTTTGGAAAGCGCGTGTGCAGGATCCATGCTTTCTGCTGTCAGTGCTTCCAAAGCCTGTAACTAAGTCAGCTGGATGCTGTTTGGCTCACTAGGGCTAAGCAAAGGGCTGTTGGTGTTCTGTACACATGTGGTCAGAGCTACATGCTCTTGGACTATATGATACAAAAAAGGAAACTTCTCTGTTTCTTCGCAGACAAACATCGCAGTGCCCAGCGCTCGCTGTGGAGTCCCACACTGCATGCAAACTGAATCCATGTTTGTGCTGTTTTGGCAGATTCCGAGCTGGCGCTGATGTACAACGACGAGTCCGTCCTGGAGAACCACCACCTGGCAGTGGGCTTCAAACTGCTGCAGGAGGAGCACTGCGACATCTTCCAGAACCTGACCAAGAAGCAGCGGCAGACGCTCAGGAAGATGGTGATCGACATGGTAGGGCCCTGGCACACTGCTGCTCTTCACATACAGGCTTCTCTGCCCGGCCGCCCTCACTGAGGTTGTGTTTTCTCTTCCATGAAGGTATTGGCAACAGATATGTCCAAGCACATGAGCCTGCTGGCAGATCTGAAGACGATGGTGGAAACTAAGAAGGTGACCAGTTCAGGAGTGCTCCTGCTAGACAACTACACGGACAGGATACAGGTACAGCAGAGTTCCTGCAGGACGGAAGCACCTTGCCTGTCTTGTTCAGTACCAAGGAAACCACGTTCCTGTTCTTGCTGTTGCTTCCAGATGATCTAGATATAGCAAAGAGGCTGACCCAGATGTCAGCCATCATGCAGGAGCTGTAGGCCTCCTGTAGGCTCTGCACCACAAACAGTTGGGTGTGTGTGGGGGGGAGTCTCATGTCTTTTCTGTGGAAGGAATTAGCTGTTTAACTCTTGGAGCAGGCAGCTGCAAGCATGCTTGTGCCTCTGAGGTTGATCTGTTCGCCTGAGTATTTGAGGGCTTGTGAAGTTCCCTGCTGCTTTCTCTCCTTTCTTTGTCCTAACAAAGAGGTATAGCACGATTGCAGGAGCTCAGTTTGTAACTCCGTAGCTGAAGCAGCTCTTAAGCTGGGTTGAAGCTAATGATGCACACTGCTCTCTCCAGGATCTAATCCTCACCTTACAGACATGACAAGGCAGCTCTGGGAGGGGTTATATGCTTCACATGTAGGACGAGGTACACTGCTGTCTCCCCACTTTGCTGGCCAGCTTAGAACAAGAAAACCCTCTCACATTTCTGTTGACATTAGAGCACCTCCCTGCACCGAGTCCCCGTGGCCGCAGTTAGTCAGGCACCCGGCTGTGTGCGTGAAAGGGATGTTACTCATTGACTAAAGCAGCAGCATTTAACCATGTCAGAGCCTGAAAATACCCTTTGAATGGCGGGAAGCACCTGCATTCAAAAACAAACCTCTGTGATGTCACCAGTGTTGCTGCTGCTGCACCCGGTGTAAGTTCTGAGACATCTGGAACACGCAGAGCGCGCTGCACCGCTGCAGCTGCAGGACCCATGCACAGGGATCGTAGGGTGCTAACATTTCTGTACCAAATTGCATAATCAAAGAGCCTCGTGGTTAAGTGTTCTGAATTGAGCAAGCAGATACAGCTTGAAGCCGTCCTCTTTTTCCATTGGATTTTATGAGTTTTCTGATGAATGTAATTGCAGGTTCTCCGAAACATGGTACATTGTGCAGACTTGAGTAATCCCACAAAGTCCCTGGAGCTGTACCGGCAGTGGACGGACAGAATCATGGAGGAGTTCTTCCAGCAGGGAGACAAAGAGAGGGAAAGGGGAATGGAAATCAGCCCCATGTGTGACAAACACACAGCGTCGGTGGAAAAATCACAGGTAATTGGCCCGGAGCCACACGGCGGTATTGCCTCAGAGACAGAGCTCATCTGCTCTCTCTAACACAACTAGGCAAAGGGCCAGCTGCTCTGAGGGCTGGTTCTCATTGACGCCCAGCTGTGCCTGAAGGTCCTACAGCCCTGCAGCCAGGCTGTGGGCTCCCTTCTCACTCCTTGGCGTCCCCACACTCCCCACACACATGCTTATCTTGCCCTGTTTGTGTCCCAGTTTCCAGAGTGAGCTGTTCTCCTTTTGTTCCCCGGGCTGGAGGAGTGTGATCCTGATCTTTTTGGGTCTCTTACGTCTTCACACCCCACAGCCTCCTTCCTGGCTCTTAATTAGCACCTCCTAATCCTACTGGTACTGCACCCCACATTAGAAATGGCAATGCCTGTCCCTCTGATGGCAGAGATACGAGCAGCCCCAAGGGGGGCTTCACCCAGGACTCCAACAGGGCCCAAATTTTGGTTGCTTTTGGCCTCGTGTGGAATGATTTTGCAGTGCATGAATCGGCCAGCTCAGCTCAGTGGAGCCTCTGTATTGTGAAGTCCAAGTGTAGATATTTAAATCAGTGCAGGTCTTAAAAAGAACTTGGGTTTTTCTTGTATTTTCTCTGTATTTCTGTTTCATCCCTGGTTCTGATTCATATGATGATTTCAAAGTCAACTTAGATCTGACCTGCAGAGCACAGGCCACAGTGTTTCACCTGGTTAGGCAGAAACAAAGCCGGAGTTTTACGTTGGCCAGAACGTACTCCAGTCTTCATATAATGCTGTCCCAGTTGTTGTTTTGGAAGGACTTGAGCAAGCCATCATCAAGGTTTTTCAGTTTGAATAAGTAACAAAATCGATGATAATTATTTCCAAATGTCCTCTTGGGCTAAGCCAGGCAGTTTCAAAACTATTCACTGGACCGCATGGTGATTTTGTTGGAAAAATCTGTCTTATTTGTTAACCTAACAAGAAATGAATCCTTCAGCCAGGCTTGGCAAGCAAATGCCCATGTGCTCCGCGTGTGAGCTCCAGTTAATTCTGTGGTTCACATACATGCTTCACAGAGGTTTCAAAATGGCATTTTTGCTTTGCAAAAGGAGTTGCACGAAATGGCCACTACCGAACTACCAACGAATGCAAAGGAGAGGGGGAAGTGGCATTTCCATCCCGGGGTGAAACAGAGAACCCAAGGGCAGACAGCGTGCGAGTGTGACCGAGCTCTGGTGTTCCTCTTTACATCAGAACACTTTAGGATCGGGCTGGAAGCTGCTCTGCCATCGGAGCTGTTTGTGCAAAGAAATGACAGCGCTGTGTGAGGCGGTCAGTCCCGAGCTGTGCTCCCCCAGGCCATGCCGGGTGGCCATCGGCTCACCGGTTGGGATCTTTGTCACTCTAAAAGTGCTCCGGATCTCCTGTGCTGCAGGAAATTTTCATCACCTTTTCGTTTAAGCTGCCTTCCCAGTATGTTACAATTGAATGTTAATGGTTCTATTGACATCCTGTTGTGTCTGAAGGAGGCATGTGTGATTCCAAAGCAAACATCTGCGCGTTGAGCCTGGCCCCTCTGAGAGCCATTTTCCTGCTGCGCTGAAATGTCGTCCAGCAGTGAGGAGAGAAGTGACACACTCTGCCAAGACGGAAGAATTTCAATCCTCTTTATGGCCATTCAGTTTTCTCCATCCTGGACGTACGTCCTCTTACTCAGACAATTGAAACATGATTGAGCTCAGTGCCTACGCGCCTGCGAGCGGATGGGCTGACGGCCGCACCGCTTCCACCCCGGCACGTCACCACTGGGGGCTTGGGCAGCCCGCCTGGATACAGGAGCAGAACTTGGTGGACTGCCTCCCCTTCTTCCTGCGCTCTTTCCAAAATGAAGGGATAGGAAAGGAAATCTCGACCAGGCTGGACTGACCAATGCTCATTAGGTGTCATTTCTGCAGGGACTTTGGGGCTACTCCGCCTTCGGAGCGGTAACTTACCCTGTCCCCTGCACAGCAGTGGTTGATTCACTGGGCAGGAGGAGGCACCCACAGGGACATTCAGAATCTTTCAGCCAGGGACAGGTGCGGCAGCTTCATCTTGGAGTTCCAGGTGCCTCCTGCTTTCAGTTTACCTTTCACACAGGGCTTGGTTCTGCGCAAGCGTTGATCTGATCAGCACTGATCAGATTCCCCTCAGCTTCTCCTTCCCATGCTCACAGCCCCGGGGCTCTCAGCCTGTCCCCATCAGGAAGTGCTCCAGGCCTCCACCATCTCTGCACGTTCCACTGGGCTCTCCAGCAGTTCCCTGTCTGGCCTGAACTGGACAGCCCCACACTGGGCACAGTGCTCCAGCTGTGCCTCCCCAGTGCAGAGCAGAAGGTAGGAGCACCTCCCACACCTGCTAACTACACTTTGGGCAATGCACCCCCAGTGCCAGTGGTCCTCTTGGCCACCAGGACACACTGCTGCCTCATGGCCAACTGTTGGCCATCTGTTGGTCAACCAGGACCCGCAGGTCCTTCTCTGCAGAGCTCCTTTCCAGCAGTTCGGCCTCTGACCTACCCTGATGCGTGCTCTTTTTCCTCCCCAGGTGTAGCACTCCTGCTGTTCAGATCTTGCACCTAGGCAGGCGTTCAGCCCGTAAACTCATGCATTAATATCATTTTAACTTTTCAGACAGCCGTCTCAGTGCATTTCCCTTCCCTAAGCGTGTTCCCATGTTTTGCAGGTCGGGTTCATTGACTACATCGTGCACCCGCTGTGGGAGACATGGGCTGACCTGGTGCAGCCGGACGCACAGGACATCCTGGACACTCTGGAGGACAACAGGAACTGGTACCAGAGCATGATCCCACAGAGCCCCTCACCCCCACTGGAGGAGCGGGGCCAGGACTGCCCCGGCCTGATGGAGAAGTTCCAGTTTGAGCTGACCTTGGAGGAGGAGGATTCGGACGGGCCCGAGAGGGAAGGCGAGAGCATCGGCTACTTCCACAGCACGAAGATGCTGTGCACGGGCAGCCCGGGGCAGGAGGACGTGCAGCGGGAGGCGAACATAGAAATTGTGACAGAGGACACGTCTCCCGTTGACACATAATGCCCTGCGCCTGTGTAAGTGGATTGGAAACGCTTAACGAGCACGCAAGCGGTCTGGTGGGACTCGCCTGCAGCCTGGGCCTTGGGCCTGTGCCTGACATTGGCTGACGGATCTCCGGGTCCGTGGGGCCGTCGGGGCTCCGTGCTGAACAATGGCTCAGGAAACGCCGTGAGTGATGCTGGGGTGGCTGCGCGAGCTGCGGGCGCCGCGTGGCCTGGGGCTGCGGGCGCCAACACCGAGCGGCCCAGCGCGCGGCGGAGAGATTGCGCACTGTTCGCTCCGGGACTCCAACCCGCCGGGCTGATAGAAACTACTGATCCATAACTCTGCGTGTAGAACCTGCCCGCCCCACCGCCTGTCTGCAGACCTGTGTGCCTTCTTTGTAAACGCCCTCATGTCTTTTCGAGATCTGTTCGATACACGGAGTTCAGTGTGAGCAGCGGCACCGAGTGTTCGGGAACCGACGGATCCTTTTTGATTCTTCCTGTTACAAGAAGCAGTCTTCCTTTTTCCGCGGGCAATACCTGTCACTTTATTGCAGTTAATCACTTTTCCAGACTAAGAGAAGGGATTCCCTCTGTTTTTGCATTACGGCACTTTTAATTAGTCTTCTGAAGGCCCCCCTCGTTGCCTGCCCCTCTGCCTGGGGTGGCTGCGGCACAGTGGCACGCAAACACCTTCGTGTTCCGCCTTCCCTTCGTTTAGGCCCACCGTCCTCCTCCTCCCGCACTGCCTTGAGCTCTAACACCTCCATTACTGTTTATAACAGTGTATTTATTACGTAATGTATATACTGTAATGTTTTGTAAGTTATTAATTTATATGAATTAGCATTGCCTGTCGGCGGCGATGTTAATTGTGTAGAAGACTCGGAATAAGAGTTGCCTTTTATTTTTCCTTTTTTTGTTTTTGTTTTTGTTTTCTCGTAACCTTTTGTATTGCATAAAGTACAAAACCTGAACACAGCTGAAGAGACATACGCAACCCAGGGGACGGGGCGGAGGTGGCCGCGTCCTGCCCCAGCCTCCCGACAACCCAATGTGAACCTCTATGACAAAAATGTGAACTGATGTAATAATTGTGCTGTGAAACTCCTCCTGACGACGCCGTTGGGCACGGCGAGCGGTGCCACTCGGTTTGTAACATACGTTTTGAGCTTCTGGTCCAACTCGTGACAACTAGTTAATGACAATAGCACAGTTGTGCATGATCAATGGGTGTGTATGTCTGTCGAACACTGCATTGTTCCAGGTGGTTATTTTCTTGTTTTCAAAAGTTTCACAACAACGTATGTTATAGTATTATATATTGTGTTCAGATGCATTCTTAAGAGATTTTTATATGAAGTGAATAAATGAATGCATGACCCTGTCCCAGGGCTGCTCACAGCGTTGTTTGTTCAGTGAGGGCTGGACTGCAGGTATGGCACGGGGAGGTTGGGTCACAGCGTAGGGCGGCCGGCACGTGGCACGGGAAGGCTGGGATGTGGAACAGGGTGTCTGAAACACGGCACGGGGTGGCTGGGACGTGGCACAGGCCGAGGGGATGCCCACGGGATGGCTGCTCCCCGCTCAGTGCTGTCCCTGCCCAGCGGCAGCGGCGCCAGGAAGGCGCTGCAGACAGGAAGGCGATGCCGCAGCGCACCGCAGCCCGGCGGTGGCTTTCATGTCCCGGCCGTACCCAACGCAATTGAAACAACCAGCGGTCTTCCAGGAACAGCACGCCCTGCTGCTGCGTGGGGCCGGGCCGGCAGCGGGCGGTGGAGCTGAGCGCAGGGCCACATCCTGTCCCCGCATCCCTGCAGCTGTGCCCCGTGCTGTGGCTGTGCCCCCCAGGCACCACCGCTGCTGCTGCTGAGACCGATTTTTCCTTTCTGCCCGATTTATCCTCTGCCTTCGATGAGCCCAGCAAAGCTCCCAACCCACAGCTGAAGGAACACGAAGCAGCGCTGGGGGAGGGAGGGCTGCGGTGCGTTCTGTGCTGCCTCTCCCTTCCTCAACCCCCCCAGGTTTATTTTTTCCCTTCCCACTGACCCACTTCTGGCAGTGGCATCACCATGAGCGCAGCGAGCGCAGCCGCCATGCTCTGTGCTGCAGCAGCAGCATCCTTCCCTGCTCTGCTCCAGCAGCACTGCCACAGAACCAACCCCAGACCTCAGCTAGGGGGATTCCCCAGCCAGGTGATGGCACTCTGCATCCTCTCCTCGAGGATGAGGCCATGTGCTGGCTGCACGCTGCTGGCCCCAGGTTCCTGCTAGCCCCTGCAGCTGTATGGCTTCTTTCAGCATCAGGCATGCAGCAGATGCACAGTGTTGGCTGTTTCCATGGGTGGCATGCAGGGATGGTGCTCTGCCTGCTCCCAGCTGTACCCTGGGATGCAGGAATGCATGCAATTGGCTGTGTGACCATGGTGTGCAGCTGTCGTGTGCAACTGTGCAAGCAGGGAATGCAGCTCAGCCTGGCGGTGGGGTTGTGGTTGGGTGTGCAGCACAGTCCCTGTTTCAGCAGAACAGCTTTGAGGAAGCTGTAGGTTTCTTCTGCTGAGCAGCGATACATTTCTCACCTGAACAGTGCAGCACGGTGCTGCTCACTGCATGGCAGGGCACAGGGATGCAGGTCCCATGGCATCAGGCTGGCTGGAGCTGTGCACCAGCAGTAGGAGCACCCCCAAAAATGTGCCTTTATTGCAGAGCTGCTCAGCTGCTGGCAGCACTTTGGGTGCAACATGCCATGTTTTGGGCACGTCCTGCTGCATCTCAGCATGTAACGCATCTACAGTTCGGATCTGCTCTGAGGGGCAGGGAAGGGGTCACCAATTTTGCTCGGGTCCCATTTTTGCAAAGCATGGGCCGTGTCACCCTGGGGCTCCCCATGCTGTGCTTCCCCTTCCACGCAGCAGCCGAAGCTCAGCCTGCTCTGTGCACACAGCCGTGCACAGCTGTACAGCTCCATCTGCCGAGCCCAAACCGCTGCACGGCGCCGCGCACACAGCGGGGATGTGCACAAAGGGGCACGTGCCACGAAGACAGGCAGCAGGGATCTGTGCAATGGGAGCCAGCACTGCTGGAGCCACATGCAGCTGGATGCCTGTGCAGCTAAAGCCATGCACAGCTGGATCCTGGCTGGCTGCAGCCTGAGCACAGCCAGGGCCTTGCACAGCTGGATCCTCACACAGCTGGAGGCAGTGGCTCCAGGCTGCCTGGATCCCCAGGGTGCTCGCTTTGGGACCCATTTGATTTTCTTCCTATTGTACTGCCATTTCCCTGCATGGCTCTGTCTGCTCCCTGCAGGGCTCCACCACAGCTGGTGGCTTTGTTCTGCCTGTGGCAGTGTGCATGGAGCACACAGGCAGTGCCATCCAACCCAGGACACGATCACCTGCAGCACTTACAGGCTGCCACCTCACCCTGCATCACCAAACAGGACCTGCCTGCAGCTCTCTGCCACCCCTAACATGTGCCCTTAAGCTGGCAGCACACACCAGGAGCTGCAAGAAGATTTCCAACATTATTCAAAGAAAGCTTTTTTTTTTTTTCCCCCATATCCTCATTCTTCAGCCAAAAAAAACAAGCAAACAGCCCAGGGCAGGGAGGGCACTGCTGGGTCTGCCCTGGGCGCCCGCAGCACTGCTCACAGCTTCAAAGTAGCAGCATCTCAGCACACACTGTTCCCTTGGAACTCCCACAGCCTGCACTGCTCCCATGGCTTCTCTAGTTGAAACCCAGCCCCTTAAGTACTGCTGAGCCCCTGCTGCCCACCCTGACACAGAGCACTGGGGCCAGCAATGAACAAGGTGGGATCTGAAGGTTCTTGTGTGTCTCAGCCCCATCCCACCCCAAACATGCTGTAGGGGTTGATGCTCTCTGTGATACAGCCCTCAAATGGGCCAGCAGCCTTTGGGAGCACAGGTGTGCAGCACTGCTCACAACCCCCCAGCATTCCTTTTGCATGGGGAATTTTTTAGCATTTCTTCTTCCTAACAAAAACCCGGAGCATGGGATCACAGCTGTGCCCAGTTGAGGCACAGGGCAGTATTTAGGATGAAGAGCTGCAGCTGTGCAGCTTGGCCCCGCTTAGCAGTGGATTGCTGAGCTGCTGTGCTGCAGGGAGGAAGAGGAGGTGGGAGTGGAAGAAGGTGAATGCTGGGATGTGCTGCGTGGCTGCTCTGCAGTGTGCGCTCGTTGCTCTGTGTGGGCCTGGCAGTGGCACAGCTGGGGTTGGCTCCCTGCTGCTCCCTTTGCTCAGTGGGACGGAAGGGGCCCTGCGGCTCTTTGTGCACGGGGAGAGTGGGGATGGATGGAGTGAAGCTGACGGAGCAGAAGGGAGCAGTGCTTGCTGCGAGGGGCCAGCAGGGAGGGAGCAGGGAGCTGTGGAATCACTGAGATTAGAAAAAGCCTCTGAGGTGACTGAGTCCAGCCCTGTGTGACAGTGGGAGCTCTCCTGGGACTGCTGGGGGGATCAGCCTCTCCTTGCTTTGCTCCCACTGGGAGAACTGCCCCAGCTTCTTGGCACTGTGATGTCTTGTTGTGATTTGGTAATGGGACAGCCAGGACAGGCCTGTGTGTCTGTCATCATCTTACTGAGGATGCCTTAATGCTGGGATTTGCAGGGCTGTGCTCTTGGCAGGATGAGGCTGATGGATTTGGGCTTTATTTAGCAAATCCCTCAGCCGGCGCTGGGGGCACCTTGCGGTGCTGTGCTGGTGTGAGGCTCTGATTCACCCACTGCCTCCAGCCTCATCCCAGGGCGGCTGCAGCTCTGTGTGTGCTCACATGCAGCCCATAGTTGTGCACCCCCCAGAGATGGGTCTTGTGGGGGCTGGCTGTGCATCTAAAGTCTCTGAGATTGGAAAAGCCTCCTGAGATCCCCCAGCCCACCCCCTCTGCCCATGTCTCTCAGTGCCATGTTCCCATGGCTCTCAGGCACCCCCAGGGATGGTGACGCACCTCCCCCCCAGTCAGTGCCAGTGCTGACAGCTCTGCGGGGACAACCATGGTTGCATCCACCATTATTCAATAGCATTATGGCAAAGATGCTGCAGCTGTTGGTCTCCAAGCTTCTGAGCAGTGAGAGCAGAACCTAAAGAGGGGAGATGTGGGCAGAAGGTGGGTGAGCTCCCTGAGCAGGTGATGCTGGGAGGTAAGAGCTGGGGGGGCGACTGCTGCTGCTGCACTGTGTTCCCCTCCATTGCATCCCCTTGCATCTCTTCTCCATGTGCAGAGAGCTTGCAGGTAACATCATTTGCCCCCCCCCCCCCCCCCCATGTTTTAATTATATATATTTATTTTAAATAATATATCCAGTGCTGCCCTGAATGGTGGTGCACCCAAGCACCACAGTGCAGTGGGATTGCATTGCAGCCCAGGCTGCATTTCCCAGCAGGACTGTGCCAGGGGTGCAGCTGGGGGGAGCACAGTGTGTGCTGGGGGGGCGGGGGGGGTGTTAGGTGAGCTGGACGAGCGCACGGGGTCTGCACCACTGCAAGGTGCGAGGGGTTGTGCAGCAAAACAAAAAAAAGAAGGAAAGAAACCCAAACAACGCGACAGGGCCCCACCTGGGGAGGCGGTGGAGCCGTGCGTGTGCCGGCATCGGCTGTTCGCAGCATCCCGGGGCCGCGGGAGCTCTGTGCCCCCCCCCCCGCACTTCTCGGGGCCGATGGCCGATCGTGACGTCACCCATTGATTCCCCGTGAATGGCCGCGGGGGGGGGCCCGCGCTCCGTGCGCGCTCCCGCGAGCTGACAGCAGCACCCGGCAATTAAAGCCCCCCCGCTGCAATAGGATTACGGGGAGGGGAAGTGCGTCACGGGGTACGGAGAGGGGTTCTGCTTTTGGGGAAAGTATTTG